TGGCACTATTCTAGGCACCAGGGATACAAAAACATCAAAAACTTTTCTTCTTACAGAGCTAACATTCTTGTGCAGCAAATCTTGCTGTGAGGATTTTCTTGCCCAGTGTTCGCTTTCAAATTTTGATGTTTTCTCAAAGATATGGAAGAGTGCTATGTGAATGAGTGTGCACCTCATTTAAAAAGCACTGGAAACATAACGTTCTGCTACAACATCACAGAATAAAATTTGATTCTGTTGGGTAAACAGTAATATAATATCCACAAAACTACTTGCAGCAAGAAGAAATTGGATTCTACTTTGGTGATGTGGCACATGCTCTTTGGTCCCACATCAGTCCCACCAGGTTTGACTCATCCCACTCATAATAGCTCAGCCCTCCTCAAGAAGTACAGTCGAAGTGCTCCAATTCATACAACAGATGTAACAGCAAGAGGTCCTTCACCTTGCAAACAAACAAAATAAATGGCAGTGAAAATTATTCATGAATGTATTATGACAATAGAAAGCAAACGTTTTGCAAGATGTTCTCTTTAACTTTTCTGAGAGTTTGGTGTGACTCTGTTCTCTAACCAGTCCCAATAACCTGGTGTTACTAGACATTGCCCTCCTTTAGCGCAAAGCCATCCTCTCCCAACCATTTAGGCAGCCATAGTGTAGGGGCTGATTCTTGCTTTGAGCTCAAACAGCCCCTAATAACTCATAAATCTCAGGTTAATCTTTGCATTGTCACACTCTTCCCACTGCAGTAGTCCTCCATGATTGTCAAAGACTCAATGCTTCCCCAGCTGAATGCACAGGCACTGACCTCAACCCTCTCCCCACCATTCTGACACATCTGGGCCCACGCTGCCCTTAGGTTCTCCCTGGTAGGCCCTGAAATGATGAGCACTTGGTCCACAGGCATCCAGTCCCACTCTACATGGTGTTTCAGAAGATTGGATGAAATCTAAGAAAGGAATGTGAAGAGCCTGTGTCCCAAATGCAGCTGCAGGAGCAGATCTGCATTCAAGCCCTTGGGGCTGGTTGCAGTCAACGTGTCAAAGAACATTTGATGCCCACATTTCTGATTTAGAAATTCTTAGGAAGAGAGAGAAAGGTCAGGAGCTCCTGGGATCATAGGTCTCCTGCCAGGATATCACAGACACCTTCCCACTGACCTCTGCTCTACTCCTCTCTGTACGTGGGAAGGATGACACCAAAAGCAAAAGGAAACTGCGAAATATCTTTTTTTAAATAAAAAATTTTAAAGACCTGGTGTGTTAGCGTTGTGATCTAGAGAGAAGGAGACTCTGCCTTTTCATTTACATAGGAGAGTGGAATACAGGTTACAGAGTCTTGAGTTTCATCTTCTGAAAAGATCATACAATGTGGTGCAAGGTCAGACTGGCATGAAATCAATTGTAATCTGCCAGCAAGCCATTCTAACCTCTTTAAGAGTTTCCTTTTATATATGTTTTTCCCTTTATAGAGAGAGCAAAGCCCATTTAAAGAAAGTCTCATCAAATCAGAATGTCTTTCTGATATTATTTTTTAGTTGGTTGCCACTGTAGTGTGACCTAGAGCCTGCTGATCTTTAACCCTCTGTGCAGCTTTGACTAGTGAACGAATTTTGTCTGCTATAGCAGTCTCGCTAAATGTCTTTTAGGAGGTTTTAGAAAAATGACAGTGTATTATGAAAACCTCAGATCCCTCGACCTAATTGATTGGCTGCTGGTGATGCCATCTCTATAACTGTAATGTTCCATAAGTGCACAGACCTAACTATTTTCCTTATTTTTTATATAGCACTTCCATTTTATAATGACATTAAGCCATTCTGAGCGATGCATTTCTGGACAGTTATTGCACTTGGGTAGAAAGTGTCATCTGGCTTTTAGCCTTGTGCCTTACAACACCAACCAAGGCGTAAAATGATCACCCAGCAAATGTACTGGGCCTTATCTCATTACTTAAAAATAAATCTTGGAGTCTGGTTCTGTTTCAGAAAAGATTTGGTGGGTTATAACGTTTGATTTATGAACATAATTAAAATATAAATGATGAGCTCTGGGCTATTCCATCAGCCATCTGGATTGTTCAGTATTTTGACATCCTCATATTGCAGTCAAGATCTTGCTGGGAAAATTTAACCTCCCTAAGTTCTAGAAGTGCCAGTGGAATCCCAGGGTTTCTAGTCCACCTGTTGAGAATACTTCTTCAGAGCAGAAGAAGGGGAACAGGATTGGTTTTTAAGTTTCCTTCACCAGGGGATGGATCTTGGCACATAGACCCTCTATCTGATTCCTAGGCTGGGCGTGACGATAGCTCAGCTGCCCACGGTCAGATAATATGCCTATAAATACTGCATGTGTCAACAGAGGAGGACATTCTTCTGTATAATACAAGCAAGATGAATGTTTACCTTTTCAGCTAACTGTGGCAGCTGTACCCATAAGTAGATGGTAGATGTTTCTCTAGAAACCTAAAGAATAAATTGGGAAAATCAGTTATCAAAATTGGAGGTATATCTTCTATGGCTTAGTATATGATTTTTTTTTTTTTTTAACGTTAAGTTCCAGGTATGGCAAGTCCTCAGCTTGTTCTTCCTAATTTATGTGAGTAATTGACAACTGGTAAACAGCCATTAGGAACATAAAAAAGCATTTAACTGAAACAAACTCCGTGGTACTGAAAAGGCAGGGTGCATAAATTTTCAACACTTTCTTTAGAGCATGTAAAACCCTTAGTGCACCGTGCTGAAAAATGTACCCTCTCTGTTTGCTTGTAAATTACACAAAGGAAAAAACAATAAAATTTCCACATAAGCCAGCAAGCATTCTACTTCTCCTTAATTAACAGGCAGAAGTCAGCAGTACATGGAAAATGTAGCCCTTCTGTGGATCGGAAATTGACCTATAAGCAAATGTTACATTTTAGCCCAAATTTTGGGCTTTCAACTTAGCCTCACCAAGAATGGTTCATGGGTGAGAATGACAGAAGTCCCCTACCCTGGGTGTTGCATTTTCTGGGTATGAACTGTGAGGGAGCAGGTCTTTTGTTGTCTGTGTTTTCAGTGGCATAAGCTTCTCCCATTAATTTTTCTGTATCTTGTGGTTTTTTTAATAAACTCCACCAGCTAGCTCTGTGTGTGTGTGTGTGGCCATTGTGTGTGTTATACCACCAAAAATAATAGACCCACATATGTCACCCAGTAGTTGTGTTTAGCCTATGATACAGTCTGTAGGTCTCACAGGAGGGTGCCCAGAAGCTCTTGCTTCCGCCCAGCAGCCAGTGCTCATTCATGGTCATCCTGTTTATCCTTTATGCGTATTTCTGCCTTTGCTTAATAACTACCTTCCCAACCGAGTTTTCAGTGTCTGGAAACCCCTATGCCATTTTGCTCTTAAACGTCCCCTTTGCCAACAAGTCCAAGAATAGACCCGTGTTATTTGCAAGGTCAGCTGGAGCTTTCGGGCCTGTTGATTTATGTTTTCTGGCAAGTGACTTAGCTTCTCAGAAAGCGTGACCACTTCACGGTGTGCAATGCACACTGGTGTAGAGGAAGGCCCTCTTAAAGGTTTTGAATGCCACGTGGTTTTCAGAGACATAAGAGAAAGACCTGTGATGGGAACGAGACTATCTAAAGGCATCTCTGGAAAGCAGCCATCCCCAGAGAGGACTCCTTTGTGCAGCGTATTTAGCTGTGGACAGGCTGAGATTGGTTGAGCTCTGCCATATTTCTCTTTTCTCCCTTATTCCACAGGATGAATGTTAGTGAGCTAACCATGGCTTGTAAAAGGCCAAGGGGCTGTTGTTTAGGTGGTGTGATTGTCTGAGAAAGTAAAGTTATGGAAATTGTTTTGACCTTTCAGCCAACTGATGTCTTGCCCTCTCACATTTATTACTCTTGGATACGTTTCCAAAAATATGCAGTTACAGAGCCATAGAATTAAATGAGAAAACTGATTTAGGGATTAATATCTTGTTAGTTCAGCACAGGAAAAAAACTTCCCAATTCCATTCAGGTTTATTTGTAGATGTATTTGTGTATGTATCTAAGCTCATTTCAACCCCTTCCACATCCCTCCCTATTCCCTGCATCTCCCAGCGTTTCTCTCTCATACCCATACCCCCACAAACTCACAGACACGGTTTTTAAGTAGCTAGTGGAGATAAGAAGACCTACATCACTTAACCTAAGTACTTCACTGCATTTGGAATCTATACTTGGTTTTAATTATGGATTGCCATTGGGAAATGTGGTTTTGAACAGAAATCCCTTCCAACATACATTTCATGGGGATATCTCTTGTTAGCTTATCTCTGTGACCTTGGATGAGCTACTTCATTCTCTGGGTACCACTGTCCTCATCCCTAAAACTGGGCTTATTCCACCACCAATGATGGTTCCTATGATATTAGGTTCTCGGTAACTGTTAGCTTCCTTCCTTCTTATGTGTTTACATTGAGACATTCAAGAGTTCCAGTAGGAGCCACCAAAACCTCCCACTTCTTTATTCTTAAAGCCATTTGAGTGGAATTCACAAGTTTTTCCTTTCCCATTTGAAAACAAGAGCACAGAAGAGGCAAACTTATTAAAATGCAGTGTCACAACATATTGTCATATAGTAATATATGATATATGATAAAATGTATCAATTTTGAGCACCACAAATATCTGTGGCTTCACCTCAGCATGAAGGCAAATGAGTTTCCTTTAGCTTGAGTGAGTTTGGAGATAAACTGCAATGTAACAAAATGTATTTCACAGGAAATGTTTGATGTGGCGCACTTGGCTTATGAATCTCTTATCTATTTGCGGTTCACTCCTTAGAGTTATTAGTCAATTTAATTTGAGCAAATGCCAGGATTACTAACTAATTAGAAGGATGTTACTGAAGGCATGAGGATGGGAATACAGTGACTGCTGGTAATACGGGTTTGTGGCAGCATGCAAGTCTGATTTTGCCTGATGATATCATTTGCTAAACATTCTACTTTGTGTTGTTGTCACACAGATAAGCCTCAAGTGCATATTCAGATGACTTATCCTCTACAAGGCCTAACCCGGGAAGGGGACGCGCTTGAGTTAACGTGTGAAGCCATCGGGAAGCCCCAGTAAGTTCTGAAGGCCGAGGTTGGCAGAGGGTCACGAGCAGTAAATGTCACAACACAGAAATGTGCATTCACAACTCATTGGCCTGTCACCTGTCTCCTGCTGTAAAGGATGGAAGATTTTTCAAAAAATAAAAGATTATTCAGTGAAAGGGGGAATAAATATCTTTGGTTCTTAATGGTCAGGATTGGAAGAAAAATGAAATGCCAGCCAAGATTGAAATCTCAGCTAATTCTGTTTTATTATCATCAACATGATTGTCAGAATTATTTTCTCTCACACACAAAAAATAATCCTAATAAATTTTTAGTGTGCCCACAATCTAATGATATATCTGCTGCCTTCTGTGTTAACATCTAAGCTGCTGGAAGATGGTTTTCGGACTTAAATTAAGCTGCTGTGTTTAGAGCCAGCTGCAGGCAAATGAAGTTTCCCTACCTTTAGTTTTGCTTCTTCCCTCAAAGAAAAATGTCATACTCGACTCCTAGCAATATTTGTGTTAGTAAGGAATGATTCAGGAATATATGTAAGCCATTGCATGAGAGAAAAGAACCAACTAACATTCTTATTTTATTGAAAAGTATGAAGAAGCTACTTCACTTGCCCTGTTAAATGATCTAAAGCAAATTAAAGGAATTGCATATCACTAATTCAGCAAAAAAGCCATGTGGTGGCACTCCTTTAGACAGTATTCAGTTTAGTTTGGGAAAGAGGGGAATCTTTCATCTTTCTAGTAGGGTGAAGATTGTTTTTAACTGTTTTTTAAGGAAAAAACCAATCCATGGAATGATAACCTGGAGCAGCAGGTCCATGTTGGGATTAAGAGCACTCCAAGTTTCAGTGGTCCCCAACAAAAGACAGCATTGAGCTCCCTCTGCTGTCCCTGTGCTATGATTTTTTTTTTCTCTCAGAGTTTTGCTAACCAGCGTCATTCTCACAGTTGTCTTATCAGGAACTGAGAGCCTCTTAACAAAGATTCCCCAAACCTTTGGAAAATTCTCCCCATTCCGCCAAGGAATGATTTATGATAAGAGGCCAGAGAACCAAAGGGAGCCTGGCTGCTGCCTGCTCTCTCTTCCCACTTCAACCCTCTCTCTTTTGTGCTGCTTCTCCATGGACTAGAGTTTGCTTTCTTTGCACTAGCTGTTTGGAGATGACCTTTAGGAAGGAGGAGGTGGTCTTGGTTCTGTTTCTCTTTTCCTCTGGCATTTCAAAGTTATTTGGTTTTAAATGCTTCAAGCTTTGACAGAGCAATCTTTTTCTCTTTTGAACACTGCACAAGATTCAGATCTTTGTTTTTATAAACTGTTTGAACTCTGCTCTAGTTAGCAGCTTTCCTTACCTCCAAAACAATCCAGTGGAGAAAACAAAATTCTCACAGGCCCCTTACCACTTGCAATACCTGTATTCAGCCACATTAACCACATTTACGGTATCTGGCTTGCTAACCTATATTTTGTTTCTGTATTTTTACCCCTGAAGAAGGTACCATGTTCAATTGAATGTGCCACGGGGACAGTAAATTACATGTTTCCTTCAGGACGTTTATGCCAGAGAGGGTGTGTGTTTGTTCCTCTCAAATAGGAACGGGTGTATGGTTGTATGAGCGAGCACGCATTACTCGGCTGCTATCCCTTCTAGCATATTACCTATTTATTTTCTCAAGAAATTGCATACAATAAAAATGGTAATTTAACTTGCCATTAAATGTTGTGAATATTCTCCGCACTTACCCCCACTGATTGTTTCAGCTGTCAAGCAGCAGGGCATTAGGTCTGATTGCCAGGCAGACCCATTTGCCATTGCCTGCAAGGAGCACATATGCAGTACTAATTTTTAAATAATTTACTGGGTCGTGATGACAAACCCATGTGTAATTAAAGAAAAATTGTAACTTCACATCCCATTTGAAAATGGGAATGCTACTTGACGGGTCTGACTTGAGTATCCTTTCATCACTAAGCGTGGGTCTTTTGTCATGTCGCTGCTCCTAGACGTAGCCTTAGGAGCTGAAAGGAGCTTACTTCTGCGTTCCAATCTATGTTGCCCTTCCTTTAAAATGAAAGTTTTCAGGCACTATCCTAGATGTGGCCTCGATTTCCTAGGAGGTTGAGGGAGATGCCTTGAAGTTTTAAATTCAGTGAGTTTGAAAGATACTTTGTGTGTGTGCAATTTTGGCTCTGGAGCATCTTGTGAAGTTTGCTGTTTCCTGATGGATACAACTGTGAACCTTGAATCACTAAAACAGACTTGTCTCTGATGAGCAAGTGCCATAGGGGGTAAGGAGTCCATGCGGAGATGCCTCCGCAGTGATTAACCTGGGAGTCTCCCCCTCAAGCTGCAGGGCCCGCAGGTGCACATGTAGGGGAAGGGGTAGCTGTGTGTGGGCCTTGGAGAGCCGGTGAAGGAAGGCATTTTGTCAAGGAACACATAGATAAGATGGACCGGGGCATTAGGAGGTGCCATGGCATCTTGGGTTGGAGGAGGGCAGATTATGGGTAGGAATGAAGGGGAGAGGAAGGGATTGCATCTTTCCAAAATGAGAAGATGTGGTTTTTCAAACAGCAGAGGCTGAAAGAAAGTGCTATTCAGATGTAACAGTCCATTCCTTTTTGTGAAACTCGAAATCCACTTAAATATCACAAGTGGCTTCTAAGCAAGTGTCTGAGTGTGTTAGTAACCATCATATTAATGCGTGTATCACTAGCCAGGAATTTGATTTTTCCCCCTAATTAATGAGATGATTAACAATGGGTGAGCTCTGTCCTGTTGGAATTGGTGTGAAACCACACAGCAGGACATAAAAATAGAGCGCACTGGTTTATTTGCTGATTTGTTGAAGATGAATTGGAAATAATGAGACTGCTGCTTGTGGTCTGTTGAAAGTTTTTCCAACACCTGATAATGTTTAAAAAAAAAAAGTATATTCCAAACAGATTTTTGGAGACTTCACAGTTGTAATTCTGTGAACTTAAGACATCTCCAGTAGATCCTCTTTAATTGTGTCACCCTAGGTGTGTTTCATTTAATGCATGGGTGAGAAGTTGGATGCAGACATCTTAGTGGGAAATAATAATGCAACCTGTTTTTCTCCCCTTTCCTCTGCAGGCCTGTGATGGTGACTTGGGTGAGAGTGGATGACGAAATGCCTCAACACGCCGTGCTGTCCGGGCCCAACCTGTTCATCAATAACCTAAACAAAACAGATAATGGTACATACCGCTGTGAAGCTTCAAACATAGTGGGGAAAGCTCATTCGGATTATATGCTGTATGTATACGGTACGTGAGAAGATAAAACACTCTGCCATTAGACTCATTTACATGTAGCTGCTACTTGTGATGCACTCCCAAAGCTTTTTGGTTAAGTTGAAAACCAAAACCCAGTTTGTTTCCTTCAAGAACTTAAAGAAGCCTGGCCGGAGGTGGACTCCAGTGTCTCTACCAGGAGGGCAGTGACTTTTCTTCTCTGTCTCTAATCGTGGAGATTTCCCACTGGATCACAGTCTCTGGTCATGCTGAGTAGGAAAGCTGTGTCCTCAGGCACAAGCTATGGAGATTACGTTAGAAATAATGACTGCAAAATTCAGCCTCACGAATTAATGGCTTTTCAGCTCAAAAAGTTTATTCCCATTGGTGCTTTCCTATGATGCCTGGGCTAGCCTTTCTCCTGCTTTCGTGAGCAGAACTATCCTGTTTTCAGCATGAAGCCATTACATTCCAGAAGATGTTGCATGCCAGTAAATGCTAAAAAAAATATAAGGTCCTTGGTAGTTACATTAACCACCTATAGCTACTGCTTTAGACACAAATGCTTTTTTTTTTTAATTTGTCTGTTTTCTTAATATCTTTTTACAGGATTATTAAAGCATATTATCATGAATTTCATTCTTTAATCAACAAATATTTACTGAGCATCTACTATGTACCAGCCACTTTAAACTTATTTCCCATTTTTATCTTCTTGTCAATTTTGTGTATGGTGAATATTCTCTATTTAGTTGAGGAGTGCACTGCCTGTTTAGTCTTAGGATGACAAACTGAGTCTCTTCTGTCCAATTGAAGTCTCTTAGTTTTATACCAGGAAAAATAGCTACGAACTGACATGACACAGAATGAGTAAACCATAGGCATGAAAATTTCAATGACTTATAAATATATGAATATATGTGTGCATTTCTTTCTTCATATTAGTAGTATAAATAATCCAAGTGTAAATGTATGTGAATATAGACACATAAATATACACATGGAATATTTACACCATAATGTCTTAGAACCTGGCCACTTTCCTTATGAAGAAAATAGGAGTAGCAGTCTTTTTGATGAAATAGAGGCATGCTTCAACCGTATCTACGTGGACATTAAAATATAATCCTTAGCCTATACTGGAGCGTTTTTTTTTCCCTTAGCATGTGCAGAATTAAAGGATCACGTCTGATGACCTTATTTGTAGACTTCTGAGGTGTGTTTTCTTTGTACACTACCCATATTGTCTGTAGTCTCTACACATAATAGCTTTCGTTCTCCCCAGTAGTTAAGGAGATCAAAGTGAAGGGAATGGCTTTTCCATGTAGGGGCGAGGGGCACTGCACGCCCCATTTTCAGTCTCCAATACACAGAGACCCCTCTGTTCCTCAGACTCCTCACAATCTGCAGATGGAAGGGGGTGGAAGGTAAATCCCTCCCTTTTGCTCTACCTTCTCCCCTCTCCTCTCTTCACGTCAGGGTTTGAGCCTCATGCGAGTCCCCTCCACCACTACTACTCGGTTTACAGACCTTCATCCTGCTCTTTTACTAAGTGCAGATTTTAAAAAGCAGTGACAGATTTCCACCAGTCTATTATAGGCTTCCTTGATTCACAAGACTAAGTTATCTGGAAAAACAATTTTGATTTATTGTACCTACTGTTCCTACATCTCAAGATGAGAAACATTTTGTGGATTTGATGGACAGCTACGTTTGAATAATTTTGGACACTAGCTTATGGCTCACATTTCTTGAGTGCTCATGTCGTTCCACGCCTTAGGATGGCTGTTTGACATGCATGATCACCTCTAATCTCCACAGTAACACCATGAGGTAAGCATGATCGTCATCCCATTTTACAGACGATAAAATGAAGCTTAGAAAGGTCACGTAAGTTGCCCAGGTTCACAAGGTTACTTAAATATGTTTCAGAGCTATGATACTTTGAGTCCAAAGTCTGCAGCAAAATTCGTGTCTTTCTTTGTAGTTCCTCTTTTTCTCATTACTTCGCATTAGAACAGTTCCCTTCAATATAAGATTTTCTTTTGGAATTAACTTGCTGGGCCAGAGAGCATTATTTGAAAGCCAGGAAACATAGAGACCCACCTGTTTAGGCAAGCACATCTACATACACATACCTCCCCAACCCAGGATGGTGCACTTATCCTTGTCAAGGGATGTGGTAGACCTACAATATACTCCCTCCCTCCCTTCATCTGTGCTACTAGCAATACTCGGAATGGCAGGCTGGAATACTAACCTGAGGTCTTGTTAGTCCATTAATAAAATATTCTAGCAATTTGAGAAGATGGTGAGTAGATTTTCTTTTCACGGGTGATTTATTGTACTACAGTAACTTGCAGAGTACTTTATGAACTAAGAGTTAACATGCCTTTAAAATGTTTAATTCTCTGGAAGTAACTTCTATACTTGGAGAATGTAGCTGGTTAGCGCCTGAGCCCCAGTTGGTTTTGTTCTTTTAGCCTCTATGTGTCAAACACAGCTCATTAGCTCCAACTCGATATTTTCTTAAGTACTGGCCTCACGTTGCTCTTATTGCGAGAAATGGTCTAAGCATTGAGGTCACACCTGTTAATGGAATCCGATTCATTCAGGTCGCTGGAGCGAGATGTGAAGGACAACAGTTACCCCAGTAGTGATGAAAATAATTGAAAGTGGGTGATGTTTCACAAAATGAAAGGGACTCGTGACCTTTTTCTGAAGTCTCTGCCCTCGTTAGTCTGGTCCACTTCTTGTTCATAGTCATATTTTCAAATCACCTTCAGGTCCACTTTGTATTGTGGACATCACACATTTTCTGCCAATACTTCTAGAGATAGGTAGAGAGATAGCATTCTGATACATCAGGAAAAGTTTCCCAGGTACAGATGTTCCTTTTCAGTGATAAATATTGTAATCGAACCAGAACGGAAAAACCACATTAGCTGTCCACGTGCTGGGCAGCAGGCACCTCTCTGGGTACAGTTGAGTTGGGTAGTGGAGGGAGCAGAGTGTCTTCAGTGCCCGGCTCAGGGGCCAGTGCCCCTCGTTCATCTGTATCTCCACCTGTGCCTGCAGCAGGGTACAGGTGCATTCAAATGACCTGCCAGGTCACAAAATACTTCCCCACCTGTGGCCTCCATAAGGCAGTGTCCAAGGAGCAGGACCGGACATTCTGCCTGCTCTTCTTCTAAAGAGATAGTTTGAAATTAACATGTACTCATTTCTACGTCTTGGAGGAGAATGAGGTTTTTGTTTTTCATGGATTCCTTTTTGGACTCCTGTGTGAGGCTGCTTTAAACAATAGTTTAAACTGCTTACATCCCCAACGTAAATTAACAAGGTCTCTAGTAAAACAGAACAATTTGCTGTTAATTCTTCCCTACCAAATTCATACCTTTGTGTGAGAGAAGTTTGTGAGGAAATTTAAAGCCTCAGATTATTGATCAATAGTAGGAGTCATTTTAAGCGGACCTGACACCCCAGCACCAAGATAATGTTTTTATAAACTTACAGGAAGTTGTACCAAACCCAATAAAGGTGCAGTATATAATTAAAGTTTTGATGTATTAATTAGACAATCTGAGAGCTCACTTGGAGATAAAAGGACACCAAATGTGTCAAGGAGAAAAAGTTGGCATGCTTTAGATAAAATTTAAAATAAAAAGTCTTCAACTCGTCTTATGCTCTATTATAGCAGAATGATTGCTTAGTTCAAAGTCTTGCTGACAGTTTAACACATTCAGTTTGATCATTTGGGCTTAGAATTTTTTTGTCTCTTTCATATTTGCCCTTCCCTTTTCTCCCAAATAGTTTTTGAGATGATAGAAGAGTATACAGTATATCAAACATCTGACAGAGGATTCCCTGTCAGATTCCTGGCTTTGAGGGTCAAGCCTCATTTATATTTGGTTCTCTCGTTTACAAGATGGCAAATATTCTTTAGTTTTATCATTGTCGTCCACTTAGGTCAAGCTTTTAACACAAGCAAAGGCAACTAACATTAATATTTATAAGTTGTAAAATTTATTGACTTGTAAAAAATAAAATCTCCGTAAAATCTCACATACCTGGAACTTGATATTTAGTGGTGACATTCTCTCTTCTTTGTATTTATTACAAGTATAGAAGTAGTTTTACTTCCTGCTGGGATGTATTGATGGAGAATAATGAAGTTAACAGTCATGGAGAGCAAGGAGCAGGAGCACACTCATCCTTGGCCGATAGGAGCCCTTTAGATAGAGCAGCGCCATCCCCTCCTCCTTTCTCCCTCTGAGAAAGTATAAAACGAAATGACAGCCATT